TGACAAGCACTAGTATTCTACGCCAACTCGAGGAGGTTCGGCCCCCGGAACCTCTTCGAGGTATAATAGTAAGAAGTGGGAGGCCCTCGTCGGCTGGAGCGCGGCCTAAGCCTATCACTTGTAAAAAAAGAGACCTTGAAACCAGAGTGTCCATTTGCAGATGTGAAGAACTGGACAAGCGCTTGAAGACAGAGGGAAGATCCATAAATGCTCATGAAAATCTCGACTTGTTGGTAGGAAACATCATTAACAGAATGCTATTCACGGAGAGATTCGAGAAGGTGAGCAGCAAAGTTTAAATCGTTCTCTATTTTACTATTTCTGCTCCTTCACCTTCACCGGAGGTTCAGTCCACGCTGTCCGTGAAGGCAGAATACCCCACTGAGCCTTTCTCAATGAAGCAAAGCGATCCTAGTAAGGCAAACATAATTCTTGTGTACACTGCTAAATCTCCACCCAAACGATCAACGTAAACTGTGCCTTCGTTCAGTAAAAAAAGCTGCCCACGAGGATGCGTATAGTTTGAATGGAAATTACTGCTCTTCCTAAGGTTGACAAATTTGATTTTATAGAAAGAGGCAGAGAGATTCTTCTTTCTGAAGAAGAGGTTGGATGACATGATGGAAAACGCCTCACTATTCGACATGCTTGTTGAAGAATGGAATGTGAATTGGCCGTTGATCAGATCGAGGACAGACCGTCTGTTGGAGCCGTTCTATACCGTCATGGATTTCATACGTAATCAAATTGAGCAAAGGTTTGTGGCCCACTCTACTAGGTCAAAGCTGAACAGACTAACTAAGGGAGAATGGAGCTTTTGCCGTCCATCAATCCCTTTTGGGTTGCGGCACGCATTCTACTTCTGTTCAGATTCGTAGTGACCTATTTGAAACCCATATAGCCTGTACAATGTTCTAAGGGTTCATTTCGACGGATAGTTGATATGGTCGCAATCCAGCGAGTGATGATTGGCGGCGTTTTCCACCAATAGTGTCACTTCTTGAGAAATCGTCATGGAGGGGCCCATTCCACACCCTCAGACACCACTTAGCCAGATTGCGATGATATCACTGTGTGTGCCAATAAGCGCCTGATACACCTCAACTTATGGAACCTTGTCATCTAAGGCTTCACTGTGTTGTCCATCTTGAAAGCTTCACTGTCCAGGAAACGTGAAATAGCCAACGGAACTCACGTCCTGCAAGGCGAAGGCGACGATTTTGTTGATGCTTTTCTGGTTCAAATGAAGAAAGATAAGGAAAGTGGAGTACCAACAAGCTTTGAGTGACGACTGTATATGATTCTTTCTTGCAATGAGTTGGTCTCATAACTCCTACTGTTTGTCAGTGATGAAATGTGGCATGTCACTAGCTTCGACTGTGGCATGGTGGGCAAAAACTACAATTACAACATTGGATGGGCTTTTCCTTCTGACTTCTTCGATCCTCATGAAGGGTTTTCCTAGGTCATCTTGATTCTAGGCGCGCACTGGATGCAAATCTGTTCTTCAATTCTGTTTGCGCATATGATTCCAGGTGAAAGGGAAAGTGGAGGCAGAACTACTTTCCCTCACAAAAGGTCGACGCTTGCTCTCAATCGCGGATAGGCCAAACACTCCGTACTACAACGCCACACTGACTGGTGAGTTTGGGCTCTAAGGGGCCACTGAAACTGTAGCCCGCCCTGGCTGTATGGGTGATGTCCAGCCTATTATTGTGCTTCCCTGTTGAACGCACTTCTCCTTGTATCAGCTAGGATGATTCGGGATACCGGGTAATGACATAGTACTAATCTAGAACCTACGCGCCATGCGGCCAGCGCGAACTCTGTCTTAAGAAGTGTTAGGAAATTTGTTTCCAGGAAATCCACAGATGTGCATCACTAATTCCGATGAATCTGTGGCGAAACACATCTGAAGACACTGCTGTTGGATCCTATGTGATTCCTAAAGGAACCACCATTACTGCTCAGATCTCTGTCATTATGACTGATGAAAAATACTTCAAAAACCGGAACGAGGTAAAGAAATTCCCTCAAAAAAAGCTGAATGTGCAGATTAAATCGATCGTATTGCTATTTTCCTGTTTTCATAAATCTGCAGCACCTTAAGGGAACAAAGAGGAGGGGCATATAACTGAGAATGCCACTATGGTCGGGGTGACTCCGCCTAAGGTACATTCGATGGTACATACCTTTAGCACGGCTGACGGCTGTTTTGGTAATATCTCTGTGCCACTTCATTATTTTTTTTCCGAACTAGCGACAAACGATTCAATCCGCCTTTTCCATTTTATACGCAATTTATAACTGATAACTGGAACGAAGGGGAGAAGAGGTAAGGGGAGGGGCTTCACGTCACGTGGATCGCAATTCGCTGAACATCATCCGTAATCAGGGTGTAGCATCGTGATGGGTGAATTGACGCTGACATAACCTCCGCCCCCCAGCCAGAGTTGCCTTCTCTGGTATAAGGCTCCTCTTCCTCGTCCTGATCCTACCTTCAAACTTCCTGAACTTTCGTTTCTCTCTACCTCTTTCATCTGTTTCCCAGAAATGGTTGCAGTTTTTGCTAAAAAATGGAAACGGGGAAAGTCAGCAATCGAGATAATTTTCTCGCAGCTCGGTATCATTTCTTTCAACGCTCCATTGACCAAATACAGCCCCTTCCCGGCGACCAAGTGCGAACTCGAAGGTTCTTATGATTTCACTTTCAGTTCAACCCCGATCGTTATCTAAATGGTAACAAGCTGGATCAAAAGGTGGTTCCCATTCGGTCTGGGAAAGAGATCATGTCTCGGAGAGTCGCTCGCTCAAGCGGAATTATATCTGGTGAGGTTTATAATTAGTACGAGATTATAATCGCTTTCGCTCCAGTCGCTGAGGCGTGTCAGAGGGCGGGATGCGGCACCAGTCCGTGCTCCATCGGCTTTTGAATGGTGCAAGCGACCTAATCGGTGGAAAATGGGCTAGCGCCGCACCGAAACCAGCCTCCTCACACGCCCCGGCGTCTGCAGCGAAAACGACCATACGTATTGTCGACCACGGCGCACATATTACGTTACTTTTTAAGATCATCGCCAACATTCTGCTTCGTTACAATATCGATGCCGATCCTTCACACAAGCCAAGCATGAAGGCCATGAATGACCTCCAATTCTTCAGAAAGCCACAACCTTATCACATTCAATTTGAACGACGATCATTATGAACCCTTAGCTTGTTTGTATTTTGAGCAGATTTTTTTAATTTCACGGCATGTATTCTTCCGTAAATATTTTTTCTGTTCTTGCGTTTACCCTCATTTCAACTGAAGCTACTGAATCTGTTCAACACGGGGAAGTTTACCAACCACTGCTGATATCTTAGTTTTGTTCGCTGTGGATGCTGGGGCCTGTCAGGGGGTGGACTCAGTTTTGTGCGGGCCAGCTCGTCCTCCTCCAATTGTGGAAGAGGGGAAACCGACAGCAATAGGTGGAAAACGTGTTGACCCCGCGCAGCCCAGCCTGCCCACGTGCTCCAGCAGCCGCAGCGAACAGGCCCTATTTTCTTCCTGTCATTCTTGCATTTCATAAAATCTTTTAAATTGTATGCTTGTTTGCTTACGCATTATTCTGAGGTTTTCATGATATCCACCAGAAAAACTGCCCTCAGTCTCTGATTGTCCTGCAATCAAATTTCCACAGGAATACAATCTATTTTGCAAAGGTTCTGCTCTACAATGGGTTCATAAAGAAAAATAGAGGAAGGAACTACCGCCGTTGATCAACCTCCTTTTTGGGGTGCAGCACGCATTCTGCTTCCATTCGAAACCCAGCGATGTGCACGTCAAATTTTATCCTCCCGGAACAACATGGAAAATCTCGCACCAATCTGTCGCTCCCAGAAGGAGAAAGGCTTTGTCGGCCCGGACGGGATCAGACCACTTTGCACGCAGGGTACAGCATCGTTGTGTGACACATGGGGGAAGGGTCGTACTTGGCCGCTGGGGGATAGGGGGTCGTATATGGCTTTGAGAGAAAGGAAGAACGTGCCGCGTTAGGAAAAATCTTTCCCCGTTGTTGACTTTTCGCAGTTTTTCCCGTTCACAGTGGTACATACCCTCCCCCGTGCGCTCGGCGGAAAATTTTTGAGTGAAAAACTGGAAGACTGGTCGTACTGATGACGCCATCCACAACCACGATGCTGTACCCTGTTTGCACTACTCCACCTCCTCCAAACCACGAGAATACGCATCGGGTTTTTTTATTACACACTACAAACTACAATACTTTGTAACTCTGTTATCAGGGGATCTGTTGACATAAACTGTGCGGAATTACATCTGTTGTGCCCTTCACGCTTGTATGTTCACCTCTGGAATTAAATGAGCGTTGTTGAGGAGCGCTCATGTATGCCTGGCGGGTGCTCAATCTGTCGATTGCGGTGGCGATCAATACGCCCACGAGCGAAGGCAGTTTTGGCGGGCTTTCGGACTATAAAAGGCTTTGTTGCGATACTAGTTTCGAGTTTTTCTTGCTCTCTTCTGTCGACCACTCCAACAGCGGAGCTCACGATTACGACTTCTATTCTAGAGTCACGACAACGACCGGACGTCGCCGCAATCGAGTAGTTCAGCGCCGATTCTTTCTAGCTTACCGTTCGCTCTGCGTGGAGAAATTGTTTATACAGCGATTTGTTCTACTACTGCGTGTGCGCTTCAAGTATCTTGCCTATTCTCTCTTTTCTCTGTGTACATTTTTCGTAAATCTCCAGGAACTGTTTTTTTATCTATATTGCTGGTAGTATCGCGTGTTGTAATAAATTGTTACTTTGCCTAGTCGATTTACCTGACGAGTGGTTCCTAATCATTATATCCTACTCATACTATACATAACTGCGTATTTCTACACTTATGCGGCGGTTAGAGTCCCCGGAACTGTTTAGAGGAGCCTGTAATTCGGAGTGCCGCAGGGAAGTGTGGGATCGTCTTTCACTTGTTTGAGAGGGGTTTGAAATAACCACTATGGATCGTTGACTTACATTTTTCCCTATTTGAGGTGCTACTTTCAAGCAGTTGATCGAGAAGTTGCATTTATTACGATAATTGCTTGTACGTGAGTACTTTTTAGTGCCCCTACCGAGTCGAACTGCATCAACATCCGCTAGGCGAAGAAAGCAAAATTCAGGCTAGCATACAGAAAGTGCATATACTCCAGATCATTGAGACTAAGGGAGCGTTGCTACGTACTTGTCCAAAAGTTATTCTATTATGTCGACCGCTGTTTACACTGTCGCATTCCTAAACTTATTTGAAAGTCGTTCAAAAGTGGTGTGTTATTTCCTTTCCGTCGGTTGATTCCATGTGACAAACCAGCAATCAGGAAAAGGCCGTGGAAATAATTGTGCTCGAAGGGCAATATATTAGGTTGTCCGGAAAGTTCTCAGCGTTTTGTGTTACTATTTTTGTACATTCATTGCTGATTAAAAACTCATTCTCCCTTGCGTCTCAGTAGTACATCCTGAAGAGAATTTTTTGCGCTATCTGATGGTATAATTGCCGTTTCACCATTGCTTGATAAACCCCCTTTTCCCAAGACTTTTTGATGCATGTCAAAAGAGCAACTTCGGACGATATTTTTCTTCAACTAAAAATTAGGTCATTCCGCACTCGAGACAGCTCGACAAATTAACCAGGTGTGGGGCCCAATAGTGTAGGAGAAAGCACCGTGCGACAATGGTTCGACAAATTTCGTTCTGGAGATTTTGAAGATGAACCTCGTAGCGGTCGACCTAAAGCAATACCTGACGAAGATTTGAAGGCATTTGTGGAGGCTGACCCATCCCAAACAGTTCGAGAGATTGCAGAAAAGCTAGGCGTTGGCAAATCCACTGTTGCGGATGGTCTGAAACGCATTGGGAAGGTGAAAAAACTCGACAAGTGGGTGCCCCACAATTTGAGTGACCGGCAGAAATTGGCACGTCTCGAGGTTTCTTCTTCACTGCTTTTGCGCAACAGAAACGACCCGTTTTTGAACCGAATTGTCACCTGTGAAAAATGGATCATGTATGATAACAGGAGACGTTCCGGACAGTGGTTGGATTCCGACGAACCACCGAGGTAATTTTCAAAGCCGAACTCTCACGAAAAAAAGATCGGCTGGTGTGATCCACTATAACTTTTTATCACCAGGCCAAACCATCACAGCAGAACCCTACTGTGAAGAAATCGACGAAATGTACCCGAAATTGCGTCAGCTGCAGCCAGCACTTGTCAACAGAAAGGGTCCGATTCTTTTGCATGACAACGCCCGCCCACACGTTTCACAAATCACTATCCATAAATTGAACGAATTGGGGGTTGAAGTTCTACCTCACCCGCCATATTCTCCACCTTTCACCAACCGACTATCACCTTTTCAAACATTTTCAGAACTTCCTTGCTGGAAAATACTTCATCAATTAGGACCAGGCAAAAAAGCCTTCGTGGATTTCGTGGATTCTCGACCACCCAGTTTTTTTTGTGGGATTTCTCGACTGCTGTCACATTGGCAAAAGTGTGCTGATTCGAATGGTGCTTATTTGGATTAAATCCGATGAGTATTAAGAAAGTTATGATCGTTTAAAGTGAAACACTCGAAACGCTGAGAACTTTCCGGACAACCTAATGACACGAGAAGCGCAGCGGCTCAGTCTGCAGCCACGGCCTCTCCATCTCCGTAATATAGAGTGTACACCTTGTGGGAATTCCTTCAACCTGGACAGTATCTGAGAATCGCCATTTATCATGGTTTTTATATGACTATTGGATTTCCTAACTCATAGCCATTGATATCTCTATAAATATTGTTTACAGCATTGATTACGATGATTTTACTCGCTATTATTATTGGTTTCGTTAGTTATTTCTTCGTCAGACAATGGGTTCAAAGAAGGAAATTACCACCCGGTCAGTTTTTTCCATGATGAGGGAAAAAGGCATATGATGTGCCTTCATTCTCGGAAGTCTCCATAAGCTCTTCACAGTCGTGGTCATTTTCTATAAACGTTACTTCTTCCTCTAATAGACTGGTTCTTTTAAGTCCATCTGTCCATGAAAAGTTTTTTACCAACAATCGGAGAGATAAGGGGACTGACAGAGGGCGCAGTTTGACGACGGGGGCATTCGGCTTTTCATAGATGTGCCGACCCATCTAGGTAGCCTTTTCTCGAGTTGACACGTTTTAGGATGGTGGCTAGACGATCTTACTCCAGCTTCACAGGCGTTCACAAGTTTTACCATGGTGAGATTCGTAAACCGGAACTAGGGAAGCAATGTTAGTACAAAATGCCCCCCCCCCCCGTCGCTAAACAGCGCCCTGATAGAGCGCGTGCGATAACTAATGCGATCCTTCACGTTCGTACCCAGGCCCTCATTTGCGAGCACCGGACGATTAAAGACAGAATGTACCCTCCGCGCATGGTCCTTGCAAAGGGCACGGGGACGGGACTGGAAGATAGAAGTGCCCGAGTGCCGTCTCCAATTAAGAGAGGGACCGGTGGTTAAACCGGTCGCTCTCTTAATTAAACCGGTGGTTGCTGAGAACACCTGGAAAGGATTCCCTTTGGGAAGACCAGGTCTAGTGTGCGTTATTCAAACGGCGCACACAGGAACTGTTTCCATAGAGAACTGCTTCCGATAGATCAGAACGAGAGGAGATTGTCTGGCGCATTCCAAAAGCGGTCAATCTACGTCCATTTATCTACTCTTTTTCTATTCTGTTTCTCTATTCTGTTTGTTTCTATTAGGTTACTTTTTGAGATCATCGCCAATATTCTGCTTCGTTACAATATCTGCACATCCGCCACGGATGAAAGCCTATGCATGACTTCACGACCGTGAGAAAGCCATACCCCTATCACATTCAATTTGAGCGGCGATAGTTAGGGACCCTAGGCTTCTTTTGTAACTTTTTGATTCCATAAACAATTATGTATATGTTCATGTATGTACCAGTTGTGCAGTATTGGAATTATATTGCTCACGATGTAAATAAAGAATAAAAGGATAAAGTCTTCACAATTGCTCGATCTTGTTTCGGGATACGGCACGCATTCTACTTCCATTCAGAATCGTAGTGGCTTATTGAATGCGATGTGGCCTATACAATGACCTGCGGAGCCATACAATGTACAAGACAGTGTTTTCATCTTCCCAGACGAATCTGGTCCCACGTAGCTGGGTTCACGACT